GAAATATCACATTAGCATCCCTTAACTATATGCCGTTACAAATTACATCCAAGTTCAGAAAGAGAATGGGTTTTTTTAGTAAGGCTGAGCTAAAATGCCCCTCCCCAATAACCAAAAAACATTTGTGAAAGATGAAATCATATCCTTGAAAGCAGAACAATCTTCAGATTGTGAAAATGTGAAATTGTGAGGCAGAAAGAATTCTATTCATGAGCTTTAAAATAGCAGCCTGAAGACTGATGTTTTATACATATCCTAATTGCAGATTTCCGTTTGAATTGCTTATGGTAAGAGTATGCCATCTGGTGTTCTTCTGAATATAGAGATTAGTGATATGAGTAGCTGTAATAAATATAATATAGATTGGGATATTCAGTATTTCTTGTTTTCATGTCTTTCAAGTAAGACAGTAAGCCGGGCATAGAGTTCTTTTGGCAGAAATTAGGTCGAATGGTTTCCTGATGCTAAGAAATAAATATGTTTTATAATATATTTGGAATGTGTACCACAAAATACCCATACTGGAAAGATTCCTGAGAATAACAGCTTCACATAGCTATGAAATTGTTTCTTAAATTACTTCTTTTAATGAAGTATATACAGGTTTAAACTACTTTACTCAATCCTAGGTGTGGGGTGGTATCCATTAAAAAGTTTTTGTGTTAAATTAGACCAAAGCTCTTTGTCACACAACATTGTATCTCTTGCTGCTTAAACAATGCAGGAAACAATAAGGAAAGCTCACATAATATGATTGCCATAGTATTTTCTGCTTCCATCCTGCAACAGCTGTCACTCAAAGGGTACACTACTATTGACCGTAGAATATGTTCCATCTGAGACTAGATTTTTCTGGATACAAGTAACAATAGCAAATATTCCTTGCCAAACTAAATATAGTCATTACTATAGTCCAGTGGTCAGGGAACAGGGGTAAATTACCCCAAATGGGGTAAAAGTGAAAATCTGGGGGTAATGAGGAGGTTGCGCTGGCCAATGGCGGAACTATCGGCATAGCAGCAGTTATTAAAACACCCTTGAGGCAAATTTATCCCCTCCACCCCACCCTTGTTTCCTGGGTCGGAAATGACTCCAGGCTAGATTCTGCAAGAGCCGCGCCGCCCGTTTTTTAGGGGAAGGCGAGCTTCTGGCATAGGGCAGAGCATTTTGGGAAAAGGGACGCTTTCCCCCGCGCTGCGATGACCGCACGCTTTTCGCGCGCAGTTTGTGTCACCGTGGCTCCCAAATATCATCCTCCCTTCCCGCTTCCTCGCCCCCAGGCCCTGCCTGCCTGCCAACTAGCCAGCCAGCCCGGCTCCCTCCCCGAAGCCTCTCATCACTGCCAGGCACACAGGAAGCGAAGAGGCACCTGCAACTGCCGCCTTGGCCCCGAGAAAATTCCCAGAAGCCCTCGGGAAGCCTGGTGACATTTCATTCCCTGGAGCGAGCTATCCCGCCTTCTTCCCAGCCGCGGGGGGGGGGAGGGCACCTCCTCCCGCCTCGACCTCCAAATTATGTGTCAGCAGCCTGAGGTGGCCGGGGAGGGGGAGAGGCCGGGAGGGGTAACGTCTGCGTTTATAAATTTTTTGGGGGGTAAGAGGTAAAAAAGTTCCCTGACCCCTGCTATAGTCTGTTTCTTTTTATGTCTTAGACTCATTCATATAAAGGATGGACAGGCAGACAGACACTTACTCATTCACTCACTCTCTTCATTCTGGAAAAAAGTATATATTAGTAGTTTAGTCCTGGAAAAAAAAATCAATCTTTCTTTATCATCTTTTTAGGAATATATTTATGGCTGTATAGTATCTGAGTAATAATTCATTCAATCATTCTCTGTCCATCCTTTTCTCTCTAATACCCCATTTTTTGTTTCCACAATTGCCATATTCTTCCATTTCGAATCTTCTTTTTTGGGATTGTTTATAATTAATTTTTGTATCTATAATATGTATATTCCATTTTTCCTCTTGGAGCAAAAAGTAACACATCTAATGGAGAATGTCCACTCATTTTATGGCCACAGCAATAACTAATTAGCTAACTTCTGCTGAAAGGTAATGACTGATGCCATGTCACCATTGGATGGAATGTGAACTTGATCTCCTATCTCATTTTAAACACTACTACATAATATCATAAATATAAAGTTGTATAAGTTTATGCAGTAAGTTGTACCATTAACTTAAAAATCAGTTAACAACATAGCAAAATAACCACGTGAGAAAGAGCTGCTCATGCATATCTAGCCCTTTCTAGTTACTTTGTTTACCATCCCCGGCTGTTGTGCAATATTGCAGAAAAGTGATTGCCCATCCTGATTAACTAGATCTGTGGCCTATTGTATAACTTACCAGTTCAGATATCTGGTAAGAGCCATGCTTCTACAAACTGGTCTGGTTGTATCTACAAGCTCCTTCCATGAGTGAATGTGGTTCCATCCATACTTGGTTTAGGATGTCATATGGGCCAGCCAGAGAAGTGTGCTTAACATGACCCAGTGGGCATTATTATAGCAGTAGGCATGTAATACCACTTTTTGTGTGAGGGTGGAGGTTCATTTTCTGAGCTTGTGGGTTGATTTCTAAAATTTTGTTACCAGGCTAGGTAACATTTTCAGCAGAGTTTAGGTGATGTCAGTGTCAGTGTTCCTCTTTTGTAAGGGCGGTGTGGTTAGTAGATTTTGTGATGGGGAGTCACATCAGGTGAGGGTTTTGTCTAAACCTCAAATGGACTCAGTTTTCAGCTATAATACTTAAAATAATGTGATATTCTGAATGAAAATAACAACTTCTACAGTATAGCATATCATTGGAACAACAAATATCAGTAACATGCTGGCATTTCCTAATCCTTCTGTGGCAATTAACACCACAAATAAAGGATTTGTTAAAGTATTTGATTTAGTTATATGCAGTCTCTTTTATGGTGAAATGGGCCTAGAAGCAAACAGTATATAAATAATACTTGCATGCAATCTGTTTTCTGGCAAAGATTTTTGCCTCTTGATCAGGGTTCTGGGCATTTTTAAAGGTTCCATACCTGAAAATGTTTGAAAACATCTACTTTAGATAAAATTATCGTTAATCAACTCTAATACAGATTGCATTGTTCTTTGTCTCTGCTCATTATCTGGAATAAATTTATTATAGAGGCAGGGTACACATATTGGGTTAAGCCAGAGTATTATTTTATTATTTGAACATACAAGTTGAGTAATAACTTTATTGATCCTGAAATTTTCTTCAGAGAGAAATAGAAATTATATGAAATATACTCATATGCTATGTGTTTCTATCATCATAGTAAGTGAATAATTTTAATAATTCTTCATCCATTGTAAACCACCCATTGCCATGTATGTGAAATGGGAAGATATAAATGGATTGAATAAATCAAATTCCATCAAAATTAATTGAATAATGAATAAATCAAATTTATATAGCTATCCATCTCATGAGAATTGAGTTAGTAGAACCGTTGTCTTTTGTTTGTTTGTATATTTGTTTGTTATGATTTGGCTTCGGTGGTTAAAAATAAGTTAAGCAACCCAGAAAAGCAGGAATACTGCTTTTTGTTATATTTCTGATACTTATTTACTACAGAATTTATTTAGATTGCATTTTCCCCATAGTTTGATCACCTGTTAAAATAAAGCATATACTATTTGTGTTTTAAAAGCAATTAAGTATAAAAAATTCCTCCCAGAAGGCATACATTTTTCCTCATCTCTCTTATTTCTAAAAATGTGGGTATACTTACACATATACAGTTCTACAGTTTTTTAAAATGCATTATACTCTTGCTCATTATGAAATTATATGAACCTCTATGCAAGTTTCTAATGTTTTAATAGAATATTGAAGAAGAATTTTGTAGATTTTTCAGGAGGACTTGGTCCTCTCCAGTAGTGAAAACTTGAATAAACAAGGATAAATACTAAACATTCAGGCAGAAATCAATATTCCAATCAAGGTATCATCAAAGAGGAAATTGCATCTCCATCAAAACTGGCAAGTCAATCTACTATACAAAACAGGCAGCAAACCCTGTACTCACTTGTACCAAGCTCCAAGAGCCTCAATAACTTTGTAATTCAGTCCTGAGCTATATATATATTCCCTTATATTGGAATTCTTATTTTACCCAAACCATTGGTTCATTTTGTTAATTCCTACTGCCGATGGGATCCAGAAGAAGAGCCTCTCTTCTGTAGCGTTTATTCTCTGGAACATCCTGCCACCAGGGGTGAGATTTGCTCCCACCTTACCCCTGGTGGGCTGGATGTTCCAGAGGCTTGATGCTACAGCAGAGAAGGCTCTTCTTTTAGTTCCCATCAGCCAAGAGTTCCTTAAATGACTGGATCCATAGCCAGCCTCCTCTGCCAGCATGAGTAGGGTGGGCTTGTCTTAACCGGATGAGATGACTCATCGAGTAATCTGGACATGAACCCTGCCATGGAAAACTTTAAAGGTCATAACCAGCACCTTGAACTGCACCCATAAGCAAACCATCAGTCAGTGCAGCTCATGAGACAGTGCTGTAGCATGGGTCATTCTATGGGCCCCAAAGACTAATGCATTTCAAGGGTAGCTCCATGTATTGCTCATTGCAATAATCCAAATGAGAGATGACTAGGGCTTGAGTGACTGAATGCATAGAGTTGTCCACAGTTGTCCAAAGGCTCTCCTAGCCATGACCATCACTTTCTAGATTTCCTGTGGAAGAGGCAAAATTGCTTCAGTGCTGTTCTTTCTCTTTTAGTATTTTTCTCAATATGATAACACTATATCATCTTATTCTCTTTCCTTTATCCCATAGTCTTTTGGCTAAATAAGGGTATAGAAAGAAGTGGATAAATTATGCCTCCCTCCCCCACATTTCACATGCTTGGAAAAATTTTTGCATTGTTAAACAGAGGGATGGTATCGATAATGGTAATAACAGTGTATTAACAAATATTCACTGAGCTGCTTTTTTCTTCTCCCTGGGATTTTCAGTGGCTACAGGGTGACTATGCTGGTTCCTCCTTCATTCACAAAGTCTACATCCATGGATACAGACTTTCCCAATAAAGCTTCTTGTGACAGAAGAATGTGCTTCTACTGGATTACATGCTCTGCATGCTATGTAAGCATATCTTGATCTCAGTTATTTTTCTTTCTTTTGTCTAAAGCTGCATGGTTTTCTGTTCCACAACTTAAGATAGAATTTTCATAATCTTGTTCATGGAGACTAACGGTGAAAGATTAGTTATCTAACTTAACCCTTTTTACTGTGTTCATAATTGTAGGTCTTCTCATATACAAAATCTGAATGATTTATTCCTTTTAATTGTGTGTTCCTTTCATTTAACATTTACCTTGCTTTTACAAGTAATTCTCACTTACCAATTACCTCATATAATGCCCATTTGAAGTTACAATGTTGCTGTTCTCAGTCATGTTATCTCCATTACACTCATCAATATGCATTGTCCTGTGTCTGACTTGTTTCTCCCTCGAGCTGCTCGGATCATCCAGAGAGTGGGAGGTGCTCCAGTCTGCGTCTGTGTAGGCTGAGCTTAATTACTGAGGAACGCTCCGCCCTCTATCACGTGGTCCCTTGCAGCGTTCCCCAGTTTATGCTCAGCCTTCGCAGAGTTAGGCTGTGTGTTTTGATTGTGCTTCTCACTCTTTGGCTGATTCAAGCAGGATAATAATAATTTCAGGTTTGATTCCCAGTTCTTAACTTTCCGTAGCCTCTGCGCATTTGAGGGTGCCTTGGGATCCAGGGGTGCGCGTTTTTCGCCCCCAGGGGGCTGAGCGGGCGGCTTAGCAGCGCTTTAGCGCTAAACCCCCCCCCCCACACACACACACCCTGCCGTTTCTCTTCTCCCCTTCCTGCCTTGTCGTCCTTGTGCTGCCCCACAGCGGTCCGGATCTATTGCGCTGCTGGTTTTCCCCCCATTCAACGCCGATCGCCCTGGTAGAGGCGATTTTAGCGTCCTCGCCCTCGTGGCTTGCAGGACTCATCCGCCCTGAACAGCCCGTTTCTCTTTTTTACATCGTCTCCCAGGCGGCCGCCATTTTGGGCGTCGCCTCGTGGCCGGGCGCCATTTTGAGGCCTCCATATTGCTGCGACGATCTTGCTAGCCCTTGCCTCAGGCTCCCAAGCCTAGTAGGGCCTCTCTCTCTCTCTCTCTCTCTAAAAAGGAAAAAAAACAAAAAAACATCAAATTATATTCATTGGTGGTGAAAGTGTTGGCTCCCGCAGCAGAGCTCAGGGCGTGGAAGCAAGTGCAGCCACTCCCTCCCGGGGGGGGGGCAAGCTGCCCGAGGCCTTTATTCCTGGCGTTAATTTGGCTAATTGGCTTTTTCACCACAACTGCTAGGTTGTCTCTGAGTCACTCTTTAATACAGGATATCTTCATATTTTTTTACATTGGTGATCCAAGTTTATTCAATTGGTGTTCAATCATTTTCAGATTTGCTTAGAGCTTCTCATTCTGCACAGCAGTGTGTTTTTTTCCTGGATCCATATCCTGACAGTATATATTCTGTATAATAGAAATCTATAACTGTTGCAATACAGGATTTTTGATTATATTTTTCAGATTATTCCTTACAAATTCTAAAAGGGGGCGCGGGCCAGCTTCTGGATACCCGGCCTTACCCACAGGTCGTATCCTAGGCGTGCCAACCGCCTTTATATTGCTCCACCTATTTGTTTCACAATGGCAGACGACAACTCCACCAACCGCCATTCTTTGAAGGCAAAATCTAAGTCACATCACGTGCGCAGACAGGCTAAGGAAACCTCCCAGGAGGCTTCCAAGGCCTCTCAAAGGGACGCCTTAAGGCGCCATAAGGCACTAGAGAGAGGGTTCGACAGGCGTTCTAGGGTGACTCAACCAACACCCCCAGCCGCCCCTTCTACTTCCAGGCACCCCCCCCTCCAGTTTGTTCCCCTCTCTCCAGGCACAGCTCATCCCAGGAGTCTCAGGCTCCTGGACCAGCAACCAGGCGGATACCCGAAGCCACCTTCACCCCCACGGCCGCTGGCCTAAGACAGGAGGACCCGCCCACGATTGAGATACCTGAGTACATGAGAGTTTGGATGGAGCAGGCTATTCGCCAAGGAATAGCTCAAGGCATGCAGCAGATGGCCGGGCCAGGCCTTCCTCAGACGGCTCCTGCACAAGAGTCTGTGCCAGCCAGGACCACGCCCACCCTGGACCCCGCTCCTGGTCAGGTACCCTCCCGGAGGGCCAGCCCTCTTCCAGAAAGGGAACTGGACGAGGGTATGGAGGTCATAGACCAATACAGGGAGGAGGAGGAGGACCTTGAATGGGGATCTACCTTCCATGGGGAACCCTTTTCGGAATTAGACCCAATGGAAGCAGAGCTGTCGGAGGACGAGGGCCTTACCCCCGACCAGCCTTCCTTTGTGGGGCTGTTCAAACCCCACATGTTCAAATCCATCCTGTTTAAGGCCAAGAACACCTCTGGCCTGGCCGCTCAACTCCCCTCTGCCCCCCCCTCCTCTGGGGAAGACCCAGAGGACGCTATGTTTAGGCAGCCCGTGGTAGCTGAGGACATGATCCCAGCCTCACCTATTTTCCATGATCTGGTCTCTAACCAGCTGGGCTTTACGGGGGGCCCCCCTGCCCCATCAACCCAGGATAAGAGGTTATTTAACCTCAAGCCGAGTTTTTGCTTCCTCCTCAATACCCCAGAGGTGGACGAGCCCATTGTTGGTCTCGCTTCATCCTCCTCCCCAAGTGACCCTCTGGAGGCCCTCAAGCCTGAGGACAGGAGGTCCGAGTTGGCTTTGCGTCGGGCTCATCTAGCCAACGCCTGGGCCATTAGATTGGCCACGGCCGCCTCTTTCTTCACCAGGTCCTCTATCCGGTGGCTCCGCCAACTAAAGTCGCATATTCCTCCCTCCAACACAAGGGCGCTACAGGACATTGCGAAAATCAGGGCAGCGGCGGAATTCTCGGCCGACGCCACGTACCATGCTGTCAAATTCTCCTCCCGGGCGCTAGCTTCCCAGGTCACTGCTCACCGTCTGCTTTGGCTCAAACCATGGCAGGCGGACGTTAAAAATAAAGTTAAGCTGGCCTCCGCCCCCTTTAAGGGGGAGAAGCTCTTTGGTCCGGCCCTGGACCCCCTGTTCGCCGAAACTAGGGGCAAGAAAAAATTCCTCCCCTCTCTTTTTCGGAGGCCAGACTCTAGAACCCCTCAGCCCTTTCGAAGAGGGTCTTCCCGGGCCTTCTACCAGTCTCCCTTCCCTCCCAGATACCCGAGGCCTCCCTCTTACAGAACACCATATCCCCAGGATCGCTCCAACCCGGGTGATCGGAATAGGAGGGGCGGAGGGTTCAAGCGTCCCTTCAGAGCTTCCGGGGGGAGACCCTTCTGGCGCTCCAAATAAATCTCGTATTTCTCCTCCCATTGGCGGTCGGCTTAGACATTTCGCCGACCAATGGGACTCCACCACTTCCGATAACTGGGTCAGGGACTCCATTAGGTTTGGGCTCGCTCTGGAGTTCAATTCTCAACCTCCCGAGTTTTTCATGGCATCTCCTCCCTCTAGGGACCCCTCCAAACGCAGCTTGATGGACTCTGCCATCCATCATTTACTCTCCATCCAGGCCATCCAGCCAGTCCCCCCCTCTCAACGAGGTCAGGGTTTCTACTCCCATCTCTCTCAAGTCCTCGGGGGGGTGGAGAGCAATCCAGGATCTCAAACGGCTCAATCGCTACCTAACCATCCATAAATTCAAAATGCACACCCTTCAATCCATCTTGCTGAGCACCAGGCAAGGGGATTGGCTCTCTTCTATAGACCTCTCTGAGGCATACCTCCACATCCCAATTCGGCCCTCCCACTCTAAATTCCTCAGGTTCTGTTACAATCATCGTCATTTCCAGTATGTGGCCCTTCCCTTTGGGTTAGCTTCCGCTCCTAGAGTTTTTACTAAGATCCTCGCGGCCTTAGCGGCTCACTTAAGGGACCACCCGGTCTGGCTCCATTGTTACCTGGATGACATCCTCATCCTGTCCCATTCAAAATCCCAGGCAGAGAAGGACACCGAGTTCGCCCTCTCTGCACTCCAGGCCCATGGTTTTCTAGTCAACCAAAAAAAGAGCCAACTGGTCCCTTCTACCCGAATTGCTCACTTGGGGGCCATTATTGACACGGTTCAGGGAAAAGTGTTCCTTTCTTCGGAAAGGCTCCTGAGTATCCAAAACTCTATTCATGTTATTCGACGATCAAAGAGGGCTTCTCTATTAGAATTGTCTAAATTACTGGGGAAAATGGTTTCATGCATCTCTATTATTCCTTGGGCCCGTTTACACACCAGGTCCCTGCAGTGCCTCCTGCTCCCATTTCAAAGGTCCGGCAGAAGCAACTCAAAATCCACCATCAAGGTACCTCCAAAGGTCCTCTCGTCTCTCTTCTGGTGGACCAACCCTGCCATCAACAAGGGTCATCACTTCAAAGAACCTCATCGTCTCATCGTCACCACAGATGCCAGCCTGAACGGCTGGGGCGCTCACATCCAGTCCCTTACAACGCAGGGCAAATGGTCCCAAGCAGAGCGGGTATGCAGCATAAACTGGCTGGAGCTCCACGCCATCCACCTGGCCCTGCGCCACTTCCTGCCTCAGGTACGCGGGCGGCACGTCCTTATTCTCACGGACAACATCACCGCCAAGGCCCATGTCAACAGGCAAGGCGGGACCCAGTCTATCCGGTTGATGAGAGAGGCCGAAAGACTCTGCCGTTGGGCAGAGCGTCACCTCCTCTCGATCAAAGCAGAACACATTTCGGGGGCCTCAAACACCCGAGCGGACTGGTTGAGCAGGGCCACCGTGGACCAGTCCGAGTGGCGCATCCATCCGTCCCTGTTCAGGGAGGCGACCATGATCTTTGGTCTTCCATCAGTAGATCTCTTTGCATCCCCCCTCAACTCCCAACTCCCTCGGTTCTTCTCCAGATTCCCTTCCCCCGAGGCCGAGAATCACGACGCCCTTCGCTGTCCGTGGCCCCCGGGACTCCTGTACGCCTTCCTCCCATTAGTTCTGCTGCCCAGAGTCATTCAGAAACTGATCCAGGAGGAGGCAGAACTAATCCTAGTG